GGGCCCCCCCCCCCCCCGCGAGGACCCGAGAGGGTTCCCCTGGAGAGCCGGGTGTGAGCTGTGAAAGCCCTCCTTTCCGAGGCAGTGTGCTGAGGTTCAGAGCTCAGAGATCTGGATTCGGACCCCACCTTTCCCCTCAAAAGCCACAGCAGCCACTGAACTGCTGTGAGGCACAGTCTCCTTGTTTGTGGACTAGGCGTGTTTCACAAGTGTGTCAGTCGTCCAGGCTTGGCAACTAAGGACCCCAAAACGCAATCAACAAGCGTTGATTTTCTCTGTTTCTGTGGATTCAGGAGCAGTTCAGCTGGGTGATTGGGGCTGCCACCTAATTTGTGGGATCGGTGCAAAATGAAAATGTGGGGACTTTTTTCAAAAATTATTATGAATTTCAAAACAGCAACAGCAGAGCAGGGCCCTCTTGAGCCTGGGGCCTGGGGCAGCTACACAGGTGGCCTGGCCATGAGCTGGCCCTGCCCAGGGCTCCAGAGACAGACAGAGACAGACAGAGACAGAGACAGACAGAAAGAAAAAGAGAGACAGAGAGAGGCCGAGACAGAGATTGAGACAGACAGACAGAGACAGAGAGACAGACAGAGATGGAGAGGGAAGGAGAATAAGGAACACAGTGCTTTTTCTTCCCCAAATTGTGGTAAAATATAAGTAACAATATTAATCAGTTTAACTATTTTTAAGTGTACAGTTCAGTGGCATGAAGTACATTCACAGTGTTATGTAACCATCGCCCTCATCTGTACTCAAAACTTTTTCATACCCCAGGGGAAACTCTGCATTCATTAAACACTATCCCCCCGCCCCACTGCCCCCAGCGCCTGGCACCCACCATGCTACTTTCTGTCTCTATGAATTTGACACCCTGGGAACCTCATCGATGTGCGGACCATACAGCATTTGTGTTTTGGGAACGGGCTTATTTCACTGAGCCTAATGTCCTCAAGGGTCATCCGTGTTGTAGCAGGTGTTAGAATGTCCTTCCTTTTTAAGGCTGAATAATATTCCACATTGTGCTTATCTCTTCATCCATCAATGGAACTTGGCCTGTTAGCTATCGTGACTAATGCCGCCATGAACATGGGTGTCCAAGTCTCTGCTTTCAGTCCTTTGGGGGTATACCTCGCAGTGGATTCTTGGACCATATGGTGGTTCTGTGTTTAAGTTTTGAAGTTATGATCCAGTCTGGGAGGGGTCAGGCTGTCACCCCTGCCTTATTCTGTTTGTTTGGAGGCCACACACGAGAGTGAAGGAGCCAAGCTCCCCTCTTAAAGGAGGCCCAGCAGAGGGTGTGAATGCTTCTCACGATCAGCACGACGGCACGTGGTGGCTGCTGGCTGCCGGCTGGGCTGTAGCATTAGGAGCTGGTACCCGGAGTCAGGCCCCCGGTAGAAGCTCCCCTCCCAGGGGCTTTAGTTTCTGTTCAGAGACCACGGGGCACCTGGGCAGAGGAGACAGGTGTGGGCCGGCCTTGGCAGTGTGGGCCCGTCCCGGGAAGCAGGCCTGGGTGTCTGGGGACGGGCATGACCCGCAAGGGCCCTGCTGTGGGCCATGCCCTCCACAGACACGTCTGTGCTGTACTCGACTGTCCATGAGGCTGGCTCCCTCCACCCGGGGTCTCAGGAATCCCCTCGTCAGCGCATATTTATGGACACCTACCCCGTGCCAGCGGGACACTCGGCTGAGCTATCTCCACCCTCACCTCACTGGTGGGCTGTGGCCGCCTCAAGAGGTTGCTGCTCAGCACGTGAGGGTGTCCCAGACTTCCCACACTGCCCCCAGGGACTGTGGGTGACAGAGATTAAGCAGCGCCCGTGGCAGGCAGAATCTTCCACAGCCTTGTTAGAATGGGCCCCATCGGGCGGTGAGCAGAGCCCGTCGGCCTTGACTCAGAAGGCAGCCCCCAGCCTCCCTCCAGCCTCCCCTCAGCCTCCCTCAGCCTCCCCTCAGCCTCTCTCAGCCTCCCTCAGCCTCTCTCCAGCCTTCCCTCAGCCTCTCTCCAGCCTTCCCTCAGCCTCCTTCCAGCCTCCCCTCAGCCTCCTTCCAGCCTCCCTCAGCCTCCCTCAGCCTCTCTCCAGCCTTCCCTCAGCCTCCTTCCAGCCTCCCTCAGCCTCCTTCCAGCCTCCCCTCAGCCTCCCTCAGCCTCCTTCCAGCCTCCCCTCAGCCTCCCTTTAGCCTCTCTCCGACTTCCCCCCAGCTTCTCCTCAGCCCCCCGTCAGCCTCCTCTCTGCACACTGACCCTTTCTCTCCTGGGCCCAGCTCATTGATGGCAAATTCCCACCTCCTGGTTTCTGGGGCTGGAACTGCCTTCCCTTGCAGGATGGTCCACCCAGGAGCTGGGCGGGTGGGCACCACGGGGGACAATGGCCCTGCGAGGACTTCCTGCCGAGATGAGGAGGCCAGTGCAGGAGGGGAAGGTGAAAGGTTTCCAGTCTCCAAATGCTCAGGGCCCATGCTGTCACTCCCCAGCTCTTCCTTCCCAAAGCCCATCATATGATAGGTCACAGGGCCCTGCCCTCCCTCACAGCACAAGGGACCAGGGAGGGGTTCAGGCACAGCTTTGGAGGGGCAGAAGGACCCCCCCACCGAGAGCCCCCTGGCCTGGGACTCGGGGTCCTGTCCCTGGAGGAGCTGTGGCCCCAGCAGCAGGAGGCGCATCCCTGGGCTCCCCCAACCCCCTTGTCCCCCTAACCCAGTGCTCCCAGGCCAGACTCTTTCAGGTATTACTGGGACTTTATCTGCCGCCTCTGTATGCCACCCGCAGTGTTATTTACTTACTGTTTTTACTTAAATAGATTCTATGACAATTCCTTTCTTGACTTAGCACTGCCTGTGAAATCACGGGTCTGATGTGCTAGGTAGGTTTTCTTCTAAACCATTAAAGTAATGCATGACTATTTTTTAAATGTTAAAACTATTTAACTAAAAAGAGTGTCTACGCCCACGTGGGCTTGACTCCCATGCAGAACCCCCAGTGTCTCCCAGGGCGAGGCCCAGGGCCCTGCCAGCAGGACCTGGGAACCTGAGACCCTCTCACCTGCTTGGGGGGCGGGGCCTGCAGGCAGGAGGAAGGCCCAGCAGCACCCCAGACTTATGGACCCCTGAGGCTCCCCTGGGGAAGGGGTATTCCCCTGCATGGGAGGAGAGAAAGGCCCCCCCGGGGGGGGTTCCTCTGGGGCGCCGTCTGCAGGGCTGGCGGGGTGGTCGAGGGTGGACCTCTCCCCTCCATGCCGCCCCTCCACCCCGGGCCTTTCTTTGCTTGGAGTTCCAGGGTAGGCTGCTCGGAGGGGCCGATGCGTTGGGCCCCCCGCAGAAAGGAGTCAGCAGCGGAAGAGCTTTTGGTCCCTCAGGGATTTTGCAAGAGGGGCCTCAAGGAGGTCGCAGTGAGCCGGGGGTCTGCTGTGTGTTAGGGAGTTGCAGACCCGCCTGGGTGGAGTCGGGGTCCGGGCGCACCTGGGTGGGGTGAGGCTGGACGCCGGGCCCTTGAGCAGAGATCACAGCGAGCGATGGGAGGGAGGGATGGTGAGAGAAGCAGACGTGTGAGCCGAGGCGCCCCCGGAGCCACCCGCGCCCCTTCTCCTTGGCGACCAGATGCCCTGACTGCTTGCGGCAGGGGCCTGCCCCCAAGACGCCAGGCCATGGCCCGAGGTCAAGGGCCACTGCAGCCAGATTGGGGTTCCTGGTATGAGGACGCTGCTGGCGGGGCCCTTGGGAAGCCCGGAGCTGGGAGAGGGAGGATGCTGGCCGCCAAGCTGGGAGCTAGGGCAGCTTCGAGGGCGTGAGGAAGGGGCTGTGGGCCCCGGGAGAAGCTCTGCTCTTCACCCTTTTGGTGCTGGTGGCCCCATCCCTCGCGGTTGCGGGGAGTGAGGCCTAAGGAGCAGAGCGGTGGAGCGGGCCGAGGCTGGTGGAACAGCAGCTCTGTGGGGGCTCTGAGCCCCTGTCCACACTGCTGCTTTGGCCTTGTGCGAGCTGTGTGACCCTCAGCCAGTAACTTACCCTCTCTGTGCACCAGCTTCCGCACCTGTAACTTCTCGGGATGAGCACACTGCGGGCTCCTGACACAGGAGGCAGGATCCGTCACGTGGGGGGCAGTGTCCAAATGAGCCGTCCCTAGAAATACCTGCTGTTTAGTGCCGGGCGCGTCGTCACCTCAAGGAAAAGGAGGCACTGGGCTTGTGTTCTTTGTGCTGACATCCACTTCGCTGTTCACTCATTCATTCACTCCCTCATTCATTCATTCATCAACTCCTAACCAGCACGACTCTGGCCGGGCCCTTGTTCCAGGCTCAGGGAGTAAAGAAAACACACTAAAGCAGAGAGGGCGTGCGTGGCGTGGCGCCATCCTACCGACCATGCCGCCTCTGGAATGGGAGCTCAGGGTCTGACCTTTGGAAGTGATGCCGCACGGGGCCCTGGGCAGGTGGTCCCCCGCCCGGGGGTCCCTGCCCCCTCGGCCTGGCCCGAGAGGCTGGCGATGGCGCCCTCCGCACTCCTCTCCCATGAAGTCCCTGGATGGCTCCTTTCCAGACCTGGTGGTGTGGGCCTTCGTCCCTGCACCCCTAGCCCCATCCCTGCTGCGTCTGGGAGCGGGGGACCCGGCGGGGGCTGAGAGGGGTCGGGGTCTCCCTCCGGCAGAGGAAAGGAAAGGCAAGGCCGCAGCCCTGAGGCCCGTGGATGCCGGCCTGGGGCCGGCCGGCCTGCAGGGCCCAAGCTCACCCCCCGGGCCCTGCCCAGCCCGGGCTGTGGGCAGCCCCAGGCCTCGGCTCTCCTTGGAGCGCTTGTGCTACTGGCCATGGGACCGGATGGGTCGGAGGCGGGCTGGGCGGCATGGGTAGGCCCCGGGCTGCTTCCCACGCTCACGGCCTCTCCCATCCCCACAGTGCGTCTCCACGACAGCATCTCCGAGGAAGGCTTCCACTACCTGGTCTTCGATCTGTAAGTGCCGGAGCCTAGGGACTTGTGCTCTCATCTGCTCCCAGCGTTGGGCCGGGCTGGGACCCTTGGTCTCCCCAGCCCCTGCGGGCAGTCTTCCGACTCCTGGGTAGCCTCGTCCCCAGCCGTGTGGGCCAGCCTCCCTCGGCTCTGCTCTTAGCTTGTTGGCTTTGCGCGGGCGCACGGGGTCCCAGGGGGATGGGACTGCCCGGCTGGTCCCCTCCCCCACACAGAAGGGCCTGCTGGAGGCTGGAGCGGAGGGCAGGGAGGGAGGGGAGGACCCCCGGAGGAAGGGGCCCTCGGTCTTCCTTCCCCTTCCTTCCCCTGGCTGAGGCCCACCGGCTGGCGTGAGCATTTGCGTGTGTGCATGTGTGTGTAAGAGTGCCTCTGGGTTTATGATTGCGTGGATGCATTTGTGTATGTTGATGAATGGGCACGTGTGTGTGTGATTTGTGGGGGCATGTACGTGTGTACACATGTGCACGTGATTTGTGGAAGGGTGTACACGAGTGCCTGTGTGTTATGAGTGCATGTGTGCGTGTGTGTGTTTATGAGCGTGCACGTGTGGGTTTCAGTGTGTGCACGTATGTGAGCGTGATTACATGAACACGTGTATGTGTGTGGTTTATGTAGATGTGTGTATGTGTGAGAACATGTGTATGAGTTGGGGTGTGGACATGTACATGTGTGGGTGCATGTCCATGGGTGCATGTGTGCACACACATGTGGCTTGTGGGTGTGCATGTGCACCCACATGTGCGTGTCTGTGTACACGTGCATATGGTTTATGGGGTGTGCGCATGCATGTGTGTACACATGTACACATGTGACTTGTGGGAGTGGATACACATGGGTATGTGTGTGCATGTGTGTGCACGCATGCATGCGTGTGTGGCACTAAGTGAGAGCGTCTGGGGCCTCTGCTGCCTCTCACTTCCTGCTGGATTTAGAAGCGGTGATCTCATCCCCTCACTTCCCGACAGCTCCGGCTGAGTGGTGCTATATTTAGCTGTCCGTGAGTCAGCACAGCTCGGGACCCTGGGGTGGGCAGGGGTTGTAGCTTTGGGGTGGCTCTGTGTGGCCTCCACGAAGCCCAGCCTGGGGGCTGTGGCCATGGGGGCAGGGTGTGTCTCCATGGGAAGCTCCTCCCTCAAACGACAGATGCCTCGGCCATGGGGGCGTGGAGGCCTGAACCCCTGGCTCACGCGGGGTTCTTTGGCCAGGAGAGGCCTGCAGGGGCTGGGCCACCTCTCGGTCCCCCTGTGTCCCACAAGACACCACTTCAAGTCACCAGCCGGGTGACCAGGGCGGACCTGTGACACAGCTGCCGCTGCTGGGCCGAGGCTGTGCCCTGAAACATCTATCGCCTGGCCCCTGTGGAGGTGGCAAGCTTGCTGTCACCCCCGTGGGCCCCCAGACCCACCCATTTCCACCAGCCTCTTTCCCAGGAAATACAGGGGCCCCTGGGCTGGAGGGTGGCCATGTACGGGCCCCTGGTGGCCGACAGGTGGGTGGGTATGTGTGATTCAGGAGTGGACAAGGTGGAAGAGAATGGTGTGCGCGTGCGTGTGTGTGTACGTGTGTGCACACTCGTACATGTGAGTGCATGCACGCGTGTGAGAGGGTCTTGAATCTGCTGCCCCACACAACAGGCAGGTGTGGGGAGAGGCTCTGAGCGGGGCTGGAGAGGAAACTGGCTGGTGTTTTTGGAGAGGGTGACGAGGAAGGGGGACCTGGCCTTGCACATCCTCCCCCCAAACCTCTGTGGCCCCCAGGCCTGTTGAAACTCCCACTCTGCAGCATCCAGGACAGCCCTAGGCCTCAGGCAGCTGTTTGGGGGGGCAGGGGAGGCCTGCACGGGGGGCTGCCGAGGGAGGGGTAGGACTGGAGGCGTGGAGATGCCCCCCACCCTGCGCACAGCCCTCCTGTGCCACTCTGCATCCCCTCTGCCACTCTGTAGCCCCAGAATTGGGGAGACGTTTCTGGCCTGGGTTGGCCTCACCTTCAGGAAGCCCCAGGCCCTTTGGCAGTTTGGGGGCTCTGTGGATTTGGAGATTGACAGGTTTCCCCACTCCCCATGCCTCAGAATGTCACTTGGCTTTGGGGGCCAGGCCTGGGAACAGAGGAGAGGGCTCTCCCAGGGGCTGTGGCTGCAGCCCAGAACTAGCCATGCTGTCTGGCCGGAGCCTGAGGAAAGGGAGAACACTGGCCTCCAGACCAGGCCCTTCCCAACCAGCTCGAGACGCCAGCCCCCTGCAGCCAACTCCCTGACCTACAGCTCTGGACCACAAGGCCCCAGATGCACAGACTGAAGCCTCCTGTGGATGCAAGGACCCAGAGGGCCTGTCCCCGGCCCCAGGTGGAGCCTCCTGGGGGGGCTCCCTGTGCCCCTGCTACAGCCCCGAGCAATACCTGTGGCCTTTCCCCCTCTGCCCTATGCTTGGACTCAGGGTCTGCAGAGCCTGACCTGTGAGCTGTGTGTGCAGAGAGAGAAGCAGTGAGTCCCACTCCCTTGGGCTGGACGTAGAACCTCATCCTCCCGCTTCACACACACAAGTGTGCACACAGACGCATGAGGCTCTGCTCCCTCGGGCGGTCACCTGCTCTGAGCCTGAGCCTCCGCGGGAGGCAGAGTGGGACCCTAAAAGCTCCCCCGAGTCCAGGCTTGTTGGGAGCCTGACAGGACCTGAGGGCCAGCATCTATCCTCGAGTGGGAGCATGCCAACACCCAGAGCATCCGCGTTTTCGTGTTTCTCTAACACTAAGGTAGAGCCCGCCCACGCCGGGGCCACTGTTCAGCAGGGCCCATGCCCACGGTCGCTGAGTGCTGGGCACAAAATGAAGCCAACCCGAGCCCCAACTTCGAGAACTAATGGGAACTGAGATGCAAATGGAGAGATCACAGTGCGTGAGGCCAGCGCAGCTGCAGGTGGAGGGAGGGTGTGGCTGCGGAGGGAGTGTCCCTCGGTGTCCCCACAGGACACAGGAGGGAGACTCTGGACCACACAGGGGTACAAAAGCCCTAGATGGAGACTTCCGGTGGACTCAGGGCTTGCCGGGTGGAGTGAAGGGCTTGGGCGGACCCAGGGGTGGCTCCTCCCTGCTCCCCATGCATCCGTCCCTCAGCCCTGCTTTTCACCTTGCTGTCCGCGCCCACGTTTCCCAGCCCAGGGGATCTGGTCATTTTGGCAAGCGACACATGGCAAGAGGGTGTGTGGACAGAGGTCCCACTCTCCTTCTGGAAGTGGGGCTTTGAACACGTCGTGCCCTCGCCCACCAGGGAGGCCAGATCAAGGCACCGTCTCTTCTGGCCCCTGTGCTCTGTGTGTGGGCCGCATCCCTGGCCTTGGGGGGTTTGACAAGGGAAAACCAGATTTTCTCAGGCCCGGAATTAGTCACAGGGCCTGGGTAACAGTGAAGAGGCCTGGCTCAGACTCCTGGGCTGCCTGAGCCCAAACTCTGGGAAAGTCCCTGAGATCATCGAGACTCAGTTTTCTGAGCTTAAGAGTACCAGTGTCATGGAGGGGGCGTGAAGGCTAAAATGTGAAGTGCCACCCTATGTGAGTAAGCTTTCGGTAAGCTGTCAGTCCCGGGTGATGTTGGAGACGGGGCGGAGGTGGTGGCGGTGAGGACGGTGGTACTGATGGCTGTGGAGGTGAAGACGGCGGTGCTGCCGGCGGTGGTGACGAGCAGGTGGCGATGGAGGTGACAGGGCGACCTCTGTGTGCTTTTCCCACAGGGTCACTGGTGGGGAGCTCTTTGAGGACATCGTGGCGAGAGAGTACTACAGTGAGGCAGATGCCAGGTGGGTGCAGAGGCCTCACACCGTCCTGGCCCCTCTTCTCTTTCCTGGCCTTCCCTCTCTAAGCCTGGCTCCTGCCCCGCTGGCCCACATCTGCTCTCATGCACGTTGCCCCTGACGTGGCCCGGGCCGACGGTCCACTGGGCAGAAGTGTCAGGCTGCCTGCCTGGCGGACGCCTGCCCCGTCTCCCCTGGGGTGGGTGGGAACTGGCCCACAGAGGGGCTCTCCTTGGGGTAGCTGGTGCGGGGAGAGCAGACAGAGCATGGTGGTGGGCATCCTCCTGCCCTTCCCTTGGTCCCTTGGACTTGGTCAGCCCTCATGGTGGTCGAAGGGGACCGACCTTCTCAGAGATACCATCTGCAGTGCAGCTGCTGGGAGATAGCAGGGCCCTTCCCCCCAGGAGGGTAGGACCCCTGTGACCTGCTCTGGCCCGTGCTGTTGGCCAGATGCCACCCCGACCCATGACAGGTGTGTCACTCCTGACAGCACGTCTCAGGTTGGAGATGGCTGCGGGCCACCACTCCTGGCCCGCCCAGCCGGGCCCGCCCAGCTCCCAAGGACACACGCGTTTAAAAGAAAAAGAGGCCGACAGTGGCCCTCTCTAGGCGGTGGACTTACGGATGCTTTTTAATTTTTTAATCTTCTTTGTCTATTTAAAAATTTTTCTTTAATGAATATGTATTCCTTTTCTAATCAAGAAAATGAACGTTATTTTAAAAAGTAGCTTTTTGTGACTTGCTTCCGCACCCCCAGGCAACCTTGCCTGTCGGTGGCAGCCTGGGTCCCTGTGAGAATATGTGAGTGGGTCCCTGGTGTCACCTGGGCGCCCACAGAGCTGGGCAGCAGGAGGCTTGGGGCCTGGCGGGCGCTGGCGTGGGGTGCTGGAGCTGGGGTGAGCTGGGGCGTCAGGGCACTGGCTGCTTTTCTGAGGCTCCTTGAGGAAGGGCTTTCATTTTGCACAGCCGCCTGGGAACGACCCGTTCCCTCCGAGAGCAGGAAGACTCCATTTTTATTTCCTACTTACAAGAAAAGTAGAAAGTAGAGCAGAGGCACCTCCTGCTGCTCTGAGATGCTCGGGCGAGAATGTCCCAAGTATGCGTGCCTGCCTGCTGGGTGGAGCCAGAGCCCCAGACCCAGGCGTCCTGACATCTGTCAGGGCAGGACAGGAGAGGAGGTCCCCAGCGGCTGCCCCCAGGTCGGGCCCCAGGGCCCGCAGCCGGGGCAGCGCCAGGGCCAGGAGGGCTGCCTTCCAGCAGTACCGGGGTGCCTCGGGGGCGCTTGCCTTCACTGTCCTCGTCCCACCCCCGCCTGGAGCATCCTGCCAGGGCTCCTCGGTTCTCAGCACCCACCGCTGGGCACGGCCCAGGGCCTGGCAGCCTCCTGCGCTCTGTGGTTGATGGTCTCGCTGGAGGGGGACGTGGCCCACAGCAGAGCCCCACTCTCGGCTGGGAGCCCCCAGTGCCCCCCTCTTCCCCATATGCCCGACGACCACACTCCTTCCCCTGCCACGGCCCCCACGCAACACCTGTGTCCTTGGAGCTCCTCCCTTGCCCACTCTCGCCTCCTGCCTGCCTCCAACCTCATCTTCTCCGTTGCTGGCTTCTGCCCCCGCCCCCCACCCCCAATTCTGTGGCTCCCTCCTGCCTGCCCAGATGGCCGGCATCCTGACCTTCCTGCCTGGGCCTCCCTTGTGGAGGCTCTCCTGGCGTTTGGGGCCCCACCCACAAATGCCTAGTTTCCTCTCACAGACTCCACCTTGCTCATAGCCAGACTACCAGGGGGGTGAGAGGGAACGAGGGACACTCTCGAGGATCCCTTCCAGCTGGCCTCACTCATTAAACCCGCACCTCAGGCTGCCCTTTTTCCCGGGAGTCCTGGACCCTGGAAGCGTGCTTTTGACCTTTGTGTTGGTGCTTAGCCTTCGGGCAGGAGGGCCTGAGAGAGTGATGTGGATGCCCACGTGGATGGGTCTCCCACGGGCATCGTCAGGAACTGTGGCAGATGGGGTGAAGGCTTTCTCCCGCCCTGGGAGGGTGTTCCCCCGTGACCCCCAGTGAAAGGGGCCTGGGCTCTGCTGAGGCTGGAGCCCTAGACACCCGGCCGTGGTGGTGGGCACCTTCCCGGCCAGCGTGCAGGCCCGGACCCCGCCAGATGCGTCAGCCACCCTCCCAGTGGCCTGCCCGGGGCCTTGCTGCTCAAAGCCGAGCGAGTGATGAATTTCCAGCGTGTCACGCCTCTGGAGGAAGAGGAAGCAGGGCAGGAGTTGCTTTTCGGAGCCTTTTCCGAACCGAGAAGCCTGGAGATTTCTCCGAGGAAGAAGTGGGGTCTTTCTTTGGAGTCTGGGGGGAAAAGGAGGGGTCGTTTTCAAGCCTGGGAAAGCAAAAGTTCAAAATATTTAGAGCCCATTTTTAAAAACCCTGAAAAGCAGTATGGCTCGTGAAGGATGCTTAAGGGGGCCCGTGAGAAGGCTGGCTGCCCCAGGGAGGGGGCGAGGGAGGAGGGGAGGAGGGGGCAGGGGCACATCTGAGGTGACAGCAGAGCCCAGAACCATGAGAATGACGTCCAGGACCCGGCCAGCGTCTGGAACGCCGCTTGGGAACAATTCTGACCACAAAAGTGACTTTCTGAGTTGTTCAGAATATGAAAAAAGGCCCCACGAGGAAGACGGTACGATGTAAATGGCAGGCAGAAGGGAGGCAGGACCTCATGACTGGCCAGGCGGCCTCATGTCCTCCAAGGCCGTGGTCTCAGCCGGGAGACCAGGGCGAGAGCAGGGTGATGAGTGTCCCGGGAGCGGCCCCCAGAGGTCCCTGGAGGGTGGGCTAGCTGGAATGGGCCACTCTCCAGGCAGGTGGTGTCCTGTCCACCTGCAGGCCCGAGAGACCACTGCCACATTGGTCCCAGAGGGGCTGTGAAGAATAGGCCCGGGAGACAGGCGAGCAGCGTTGCCGCACTGGCTGTGGGGAGGGGGTGAGCAGACCTGCACCGTTTTCTCTTGGGGAACGTGGTTTGCTTGGCCAGCTCATTTGTGAGCACTGGGAGCTAAGCCAGCACATCTCTCCATCAGGGCGGCCACGAAGCGACCTGAGCAGGGCCTGCGGGATGGGCGGACGGGCTGCATCAGAGCTGTAGGGCTGGATTTCAGCCAACGGGCTGAGTTCTGTGATGCTCGGGGAGAGATGCTGGCTCAGCAGGAGCAGTCACCCCATTTCTGGCGCCGGTTTGGGGCCCTGCATCCCCAAGAGGAGACGGGGGGGGAGGGCACAGGGCACAGCCCACCCCCATCTGAGCCAACGTATCAATCGGTGCTGCGGCCGATGGATCCCTGGGTCCAAGAGACGTTTGGGGAACACGTTCCTACAAGGCTGGACCCGAGGACACAATCGAGAGGAAAGAACCAACATGTCTCTGTGGTCATGGAGGCCACGGTCCGGAGCAGAGACGGACACTGCCCAGATGCCCACACAGAGCGCAGGGCCGCCGCGTGACTGCAGTGGGGACGACGTGGGTGCCTCACGCTCGCTCAACACTGAGGAGAGTCCGGAGCGCGTCCTGGGGTTGAGAGCGGAGGCAAGCTCACAAGGGTGGAGGGGGAAGAGGGGCTCGACCCAAAGCTCAAGGCTTGCAGGGCTCTCAGCAGGCCTGAGCTTGCAGCCAGATCATTCCAGGGCTTTCGGGGAGTGGCCAGTGGCCCAGGAGATGCCAGCCTGTGGGCTGTGAGGGCTGCTGATGCGCTGGAGGGAGGGGCGGGGTACCACGGGGATGGCATGGCACACGGCTGGGACGGGTGTCCCCCGGGGCAGAACCAGGGTCTGGCTGCAGCGGCACAGGGGGGGGCTGGTCTGCCCCAGGGTCCCTGAGCCCCTGTATGGGGTTGGGTGCTGCAGCGTGTGGGTGATCTGGGGACTCGAGGCTGAGCTCCGTGAGGATGCATTGATGCCCCCAGCATGCCTCCCCAGGGCTCTGGGTTTGCCAGGGAGCCGCAGATTCCTGGGCACTGGGAAAGCCAGAGTCCCCTGCCCCGGGCCCTGGCTCAGTGGCCTCAGCTACAAGTGCTGGGCCTTTATCTGGCCTCTGTCTCCACCCAGCGGCCTGTCCTGACCTCAGAAGAGCTTCCCCCGACCTCACGGCTGAGCTCTGCCCACGAGGAGGGAAGCCCCTGAGTGGGTCAGCCTGGGCGGCGGGAGGGGTGCTGAGCCCGTGTCTGCAGTCACGGGAGGGCTGGTGGTGGCTGGGTGTGGAGCTGGGGATGCAAGGATGGGGGTGAGGACCACAAAGGATTGTTCCTGGCAGATGAGGACGTTGTGGGAGGGGCAGGAGTGGGGAGGGAGGCACTGGGAGCAGGTCGGGCAGGAGAGCTCAGGGCGTGGGGCGGGGGTGGGCTTTCCAGCCCCTAGAGGCACCTGAGGGCAGGGCGTGCTGGGCGACTGACGCCCACAGGTTTGGGCCCGGCTCCCCTTGACCCCTGCAAACCTCAGGAATCCATCATCAGGATTCTGAGGTCTAGGTTTCCGCAGGGGGGAGCTCAGGTTTACTTTTCTGTGCAGCAGGTGGGCTCCAGATGTGGCCAGAGGTATTTGAGGAAGAGGCCTGGTCCCCTGTCCCTTCTCTGAGTTTGCTGTTAGGAAAACGAAGCCCACCCCTCCAGCTGACCTTCAGTCACCCCACAGGGTCCAGCCATGGCAGGAAGGGTCCTGAGGGAGTCTGCCTGTGCGTCCCTCGTCCCCACCCAGAGGGGCTGTGGCTGAGACCCCAGGGGGTGAGCTCCAGGGAGCCTGTGGCCCTCCTGTCTCCCGTGGCTGGTAACGCTGCAGGGCTGCTGTGGGAGCCCAGGGTCTGTGCCTGGCTTTGGGGGCAGCTGGAAACTTTCCAGTCCCCTGGGGCCACCTGGGGGAGGCAGGCTCAGGCCACAGGGGCTGGGGGCATCTAGGTCTGATGTTCAGGGCACGTTGCTGAAGCACAGGTGTTGGAGGCGCCTGAGGAGAGCTGGGTCTCTCCCTCCAGCCAGTAATACCCTGGAGGGCTCGGGACTTCTGCTGGCTCTGGAAGGAAGCCCCTGGCTTGGGGCCCTGGGCTGTGCCAGGCTGCCTGTTCGCCAGGAGCGCATCCGGGACCCCAGGGCTGCTAAGGAGCTGAGCTGTCTAGCACGGCACACGGCAGCCAGCAGCCAGTGTGGATGTTCAAGTTTATTCAAATGAAATGACTCCTGCTCTAGCACATGAGGGACTGGAGGCTGCAGCATTAGCGCTGCCCCAGAACAGAGGGGGGCCTAGTGGCCAGGGCGTCACCCTACACCGTGACACTGTGGCACTGGCCTGCCCTCTCCCTCTCGCCCTCTCACCTCTGCCCTTCCCTTGCCCGGGTTCCCCCATCTCCAGCCCGCAGGGCGCCCAGCTCAGGTCCAGGCTTGGCCAGCATGAGCCTGGGGAGGAGTGCCCTGGGGCCAGGCGTGTCTCCTCTGAGCAGCACTTCCAAGGGCCTGGCCCAAGGGGAAGGCAGGGTGGGGGGAGCGCAGGGGGCCTGGCCGGGCCTTGTGCTGACCTTTGGGGGTGAGGAAGGCTCCTCAGAGGTCCCCTCCTGGCCAGTGTCTCCTCTCCCATGCGGCAGGTCGCACCTTGATTCCCTGCTTCCCTGCGGCCCCCTGCCAGGCTGGGGACCCCACCCCAGTGCCACACAGCACCCTGCTCCTGCACCCCCGCCCACTCTTCGGGGGCCACCCGCACTAATGCGCCTGCTGTTTGCTGCAGTCACTGCATCCAGCAGATCCTGGAGGCGGTTCTCCATTGCCACCAAATGGGGGTTGTCCACAGGGACCTCAAGGTGAGTTCCCCACCGTGCCCTGTGCCAGGTGTTTGTTGTCTGTAACTGCATGTTGTGTTTAACAGGAGGCTCTGGGCTGGGGCAGTACAAGCGCCAGGAGACACTGTGTGCGTGGGACGTGTGCACGTGCGTGTGTGTGTGTCTGCGTGTGAAAGTGCATGCATGTGAGTGTGTGTGCGTGTGCATCAGCACGTGTATGAGCACCTGTGTGTGTGCATGTGTGTTTGTGTGTGAAGGTGCATGCATGCGAGAATGTGGGCCTGTGTGCACATGTGTATGTGTGTGTGCCTGTGTGGGCGCAGGTGTATATGTGCTCACATGCACATGTGTGTATATGTGTGTGGGAGCATTGTGTGCACATGCATGTGCGTTCATGCATGTGTGAGAGAATGTGTGTATGTGTGCATGTGTGCACATCTGTGTGCGTGGTGTCTGTGTGTGTGCACGCATGCATGTATTTGCACACGTCCCTCCCAACACCTTTAGGCTCCAGGGCTGAGAGGGGACAGTTGTCAAGAATCAGCCTATTAACGCATGTCCACTCGGGGTCTCGCTTTCTGGGCTCCGGTTGAGATTCGGACCTGGCAGGTGGGACACAGGTGATGTGCGTGCAGGTGGGGCTGATGCCTCGGGAGCAGGGGCTGAGGGACCAGCCTGGATGGTCTCTGCAAACTTCCAGCCCTTTCTTCTAGTGGCCCTTGGCTCAGCTCTGGGCAAAGTGACCATAGAGCATTTAAAAGAAGGTTCGTCACCCACAGGGCTCAGTGCGGTGGGAGGGTCTTCAGGAAGAGCTACACCCCATCCTCCTGCCTCCCTCCCTCCCTCCTTTCCCCCTCCCTCCCCCTCCGCCCTCCTCCTCTCAATCTCTCCTCCTTTCTTGGATTTTAGCTTTCTTCAAGTCTGGGTTTGGGTCAGTGTCTTCTGTTGGGGGGTGGGGGGACCCCTGGGCCTGTCATCCCTGCTAAGAGACCTGCTGGTGGCGTTTGAGACCAACCTTCCCGTGGGTGCTCGGGCTGAACGGGGTCACGCCCTTCCTTGGGCCACTGAGGGGTGTGTGTCTGTGAGCTAATCTTTGTGGGGCTGCTCTTGGAATGTTGTCCTGCCAGGAGCAGGCCCAGGACCCTCTCCTGTGCCCTTCACGTGTTCCCGCCCTCTCTCTGCATGTGCCGTGTGGTCCCCTGTCCTTTCACATGCCCACCCAGGCCCGCCGTGTCTGCCTGTCCTGTGGGTCCCCCTCTGTCACTGTGTCTTGTCAGAATCGGCCTCATTTGGAGGCCTCTGGGAGGAGGGGCCGCAGGGGAGAGGGCGCGCATCCCCCCTTGACTATGGACCCCGTGATGCATAAGTAACTTTGAGGCCAAAGCACGCAAACGGAGATGGATGCTCCCCCCGGGCCAGGTGTGCCCTGGGGGCAAACAGAATCCTTGCCGAGAAGAAGAAAAGGGGGCAGGAGTCTGCCAGGTGTCGGGGGAGTGGACGGCCCCTCCTCCTCTAGAGAGGCCTCCACCATCGTGACTGAGACAGCCCCCCAGAAGCGGTGCTGTGGTGGGTGTCCTCTCAGCCAAGGTGTGGAGGGCGGAGAGAGCAGAGGGGGCTGGTACCATCGCAGGGTGCTGCGAGGGAGCCAGGGTGGAGCCCGGGGCCAGGGCCTCACTGCCCGGACCCAGCTGGCTCCCCTGCCTCTCCCCCGGCCCGGCCCCGACCCTTCTTGTCCAGCTCTTCCCAGGGACCAAGTTCACCTAGCTCCTTCCTGGGAAGGAGTGCTGGTTTGTTTCCTCGGGGTGGGGGTGTCTGGGGTGTAGAAGTCAGGTCAAGCCCCCAGCTGCAGTCCCTGACCCCTACGATTTCAGGCTTCTTTTTTTAATTGAATTTAAAAAGATGGACATATAGTTGATTTACAATGTTGTGTTTATTTCGGACTTCTTGATGTGGGGTGTGTGGAGAGGTTGGGGTCCCCTTGCCCCACGCACATCTGCAAAATCAAGGTGTTCAGAGGCGGGCTTCCCTGGTGGTCCAGTGGTTAAGACTCCGTGCTTCTAATGCAGGGGGCGCGGGTTCGATCCCTGGTCGGGGAAGTTCCACATGGCGTGCGCTGTGGCCAAAAGAGTTGATGGGATGTGCATTAAGAAATAAACTTTAAAAAGGGAAGAAAAGGGGAGTATTTAAAAAAAAGAAAGATCAATAATCAAAAAAAAAAAAAAAAAAACAACAAACATAAATGCAGAAAAAGGGGGGATTTTAAAAAAAAAAAAAAAAAAAAAAAAAAAAAAAAAAAAAAAAAAAAAAAAGATGTTCAGAGGCCTCCAGGCTGTGCTGGGCAGACGGGGCTGAGTGTCCCCAGCGCACGTCACCTGGAGGGACAGCACCTCGTCCAGCCAGCTGTGTGGGCCTGGAGGAAATGGTTTCTGCCGGCTGGGGCTGGCACACTTCATCTGTTCCACGTGTGTCGTCCTAACACCCCAGGTGTACAAGCGGTGTTAACTCAGTTCGGTTGGGGTGTTTGTCTTTCTTGGCACCAAAGTGGCAGTGTGGTCTCAGCGGGCCTTCCCGTCGGGAGGGTGGCCTGGTGAGGGGGCCGAGGGCCCAGAGAGGCATGAGGAAGTCCAGCGGCTTTGAGCTCTGAGCGCTGACCGCTGGGAGGTGGTGAGGCTGGTGGATAGGCTGGGATGGGAGGGGCCCAGCGCACAGGACACAGTGCACAGGGACCCCCTCGGGCCTTTGGGGCCAAGTGTCCCCAGTCAGGGGGCAGCAGCCTCGGCGCTCCAGTGGGACAGGGATGAATGTCCTTCCAGCTTGAGCAAGGGCGCTGCTCCCTGACTCAGGGAGGTCTGCATGGGACCTTTCCCACCTGTGGGCACTGGATGGGCAGCAGTCAAGGCAGGCCCCCTCTGCCCAGCATGGGGCTGGTGGGACTTGGTGGACAGACGTCCTGCACTGCCAGGCTCTCGGGGCCCTCGGTTGTTCCTTCTTGCCCTTTGAGGGTTGCCATCCTGCCAGAAGCGCCTGAGCGCTCTGGCAGGCAGTTGTCTGTGCAGCCAGCCGTGGTGAAGGGAGGGAAGCCCCTCTGCCGGTGGAGGTCCCGGGCCCCTGCACAGCCTGCCAGGGCCTGTAGGGTACACTCAGTTTTTGGTCCCAGCGCCCTGAGTTCACAAGCTTGTGCTTTGAGAGCCAGCTTCCCTCAGCTCTGGGGCGCCTGTCCCTGCCCCCCGGGGGTGCGGGGCAGGGACAGACTGCGGGGTGCAGGCCCGGGGGGGCCCAGAGCTCTGGGATATGCCCAAGCCAAGGGTGTCAGCTGCACTGGGGGGACACCCACGTGGTGGCGGGTCAGGCCTGTGTGCCCCTGTCTGCAAAGCACTATTTTGTTCCCCTCCCTCCCGTGACACCCCCGGGTGTAAACCACACGCTCTCGGGCTGCTCGCCTTCCCCGCAGCCCGAGAACCTGCTCCTGGCCAGCAAGTGCAAAGGGGCCGCAGTGAAGCTGGCGGACTTCGGCCTGGCTATCGAGGTGCAGGGGGACCAGCAGGCCTGGTTTGGTGAGTAGCCGGCTGGCCGGCCGGGGGCCAGGCTGGGGGCGTCAGCTGCCCCCGGGGCCCCTCACATGGCCCTTTCCCCTCCCGCTAGGGTTCGCTGGCACGCCAGGCTACCTGTCCCCAGAGGTGCTGCGCAAGGAGGCGTACGGCAAGCCGGTGGACATCTGGGCGTGCGGTGAGGCTGGTGTGCGGGGCGGGGTAGGGCCGCAGGGCCACCATGAGGGACCCGCCGCTGGGCTGACTCACGGGGCTACCCCCCGCTAGGAGCGCCCTCTCCACCCAGACTGGAGTCGCTAACGCGATTCCGGCTGTTGCTGAGAAGCCCACCGCCCCGGCGCCTGCCCCGCGCTCCGCAGAGCGGTCTGGAGGAGGAGCAGCAGGTGCCTGGGTGGTGGATGGATGCTGGTGGGCTGGAGACCGTGCACGCCACCCTGGCGGGGCCTGTCCTCTGCGTGGCGGAGGGGGCTGGCCTCGGGCCTCTCCTGTAAAGTAGGGTGAGGGTAGAGCAGAGGTGAAGGAGGCGTTTATGCCATTCCGCCGTCAGGGTCTCCAAACAGTGACACTTGCTGACGCTGGCTGCGTGGGCCGGGAGGGGGTCCCACTGGACCTTGAGGGTCCCGGTGTCCTCATGGGGCTTGCTGGCTTCGGGCAGTGACCCCCACCCTAGCTGATGCTGAGAAACTGGCTGAGGGTCCCCTAGCTGTCAGGCGGCAGAGCTGGGCATATGACCCCCGCGCCGGGGGTCACACAGCTGACCCCACGCAGCAGCGCCCCACTGGCTTGTGGCTGTGCTGTGGGCTCCATGGGCGGGGGCTGAGCCGCTGGGCGCAGGCGGTGAGGGCGGCAGTGCGAGGCCCTGCGCTTGCGGTTCCCCGCAGGGGTGATCCTGTACATCCTGCTGGTGGGCTACCCGCCCTTCTGGGACGAGGACCAGCACAAGCTGTACCAGCAGATCAAGGCCGGGGCCTACGACGTGAGTGCCGGGACCCCCCCCCCCCCCCCCCGCCACCCCCTGCCCTCCGACAAACATCTCTGTAGAAAAACCTGAGCCAGGTAGGATGTTAGGCTTTGAAAGGGACATGGAGATGAAGAACAGGGCCCCCCCCCCCCCGACCCTCCCCATCTTGGGGAGGCAGAGGCAGGGAGCGGGGTGATGTCGCCTGTTTCCAGATGAGGCCCCCCCTCGGAGAATTCTGTCTCCTGCCTGGGAAGGGGGCTTTAGGCTCCCTTGTGCGTGGCTTCCCTTCGCAGTTCCCATCTCCGGAGTGGGACACGGTCACTCCTGAAGCCAAAAACCTCATCAACCAGATGTTGACCATCAACCCTGCCAAGCGCATCACGGCGCACGAGGCGCTGAAGCACCCGTGGGTCTGCGTAAGTCGCCCCAGCCTCAGACCACCCCCCAGCGCGTTGACCCTGGCACGCTCTCCTCGCACCCAGTGGGTCCCCTGGTTTCCCGGGGGCTGCGTGGCCTGTGGCTTTAAGGCTGGCAGGTTTAAAGACCTTAGTCCCTGGGAGACTAAGGAGCTCCGTGGGAAGAGGAGGCCCAGTCCAGGGCTTGAGGGGACAGAGTAGCGAGGTGGGTGAGGGACAGGTGGGGGGGTGGACGGGCCATGAGGGGTGACGGGCTGGGGGGTTAGGCAAGCAGCGGGGACAGGTGGCCTCCGGCTGCAGTGGGCGGCCGGCAGCTCTTGGCACAAGGGCCCTGGGGGTGCTGCTGCCCTGAGCCTTGCCCCGAGCCCCCTCTTTAGAGCCCCGCCTTGGGGACAGAGCTGATGCCCCTCAGGGCTCCTTGCAGCGTGTGACCCCCTCCTCCCTCCCCGCTCCCCACAGCAACGCTCCACTGTGGCCTCCATGATGCACAGGCAGGAGACCGTGGAGTGCCTGAAAAAGTTCAATGCCCGGCGGAAGCTCAAGGTGAGACACCGACCCCAGCAAGCGGCCAGGGTGCCACGCCAGGCACGCGTGCTCACCCACCCAGAGGGGCCGAGGGCCCTGCCCTGGGAGCAGCTGGAGGGGCTCGGGCAGGCCTGTGGGGGTCCCAGTCACCTAGGACGGGCTGCTCGTCAGTGCCGTCCCAGACTAGGCCCCCCGTGGCAACAACACCAGAGGTGCCCAGACGTGGGCCTGGCCCCCAGGTGCACAGCTGGTCTCTCCTCCAGAATTAAGATAAGAATTACTGGAAAAAGATCTGGAAGTGGGACTGGTGTCCTGTCTTAGAGTTATTAAGGAATATTAAGATTGTGGTGAAAACTCATACACAAAATAGTTTCGTTTACTTACTGATGATCCTTTTTTTTCTGGTTTATATGAAAGTAAAATGTCTGTGTGTATATATGCATGCATACATATATGTTTATTTGTGTGTGTTTCAAAATAGAGATCATACAGGGCCTTTTTTTTTTTTTTTTTTTTTTTTTTTGTGTGAAAGGCGCCCTGTGGTCAGTCATGGTCTCTGAGCGGGAGTGGGCTGAGAAGCTTCTGACCTGGGGCAGTTTTGGTCAGGAGATCAGCCGAGCTCTGCTGCTTGCGTGGGCAGGGGGAGGGCGGGAGGGAGGGCGGGGGGCCCTGGGCAAGGAGGCCGTTGAGCGCCAGGCCCGCCCTCCCTACAGGCTGCTCTGTGCTGAGAGTGAGTGTCCAGGCCTGGCGGCTGGCGTGCACGTGCCTGTCAGGGAGAGGAGGCGCCGTGGGGAGAGGCAGACCCCCAGCTGCAGCCCCGGGGGGTCTTGACGCCTTTAAGAGCTGGGCTCAGTGGGCAGTTTAGGACCTGGGGTGCCTCCCTGTTTTAATGCTGGACGTGGGTGGCATGTCTGGGTGCAGCTGCCTCTCTGCGAGGCCGTGACTTGAGGTGCGGGCGGGGGTCTCCGCCTGGCCTCAGCTGTGTGTCTCTCCCCAGGGCGCGATCCTCACCACCATGCTGGCCACGCGGAATTTCTCAGGTGAGTAGAGCCTTCTCCAGGAGGAGCAGGCCTACGGCGGGAAGGCTGGGGAGCGACCCGCCGCCAGCTGCCTGCCGTGTCCTCACCCCACTGTCCCCTTCTCTGCTGCTGGCCCGGCCCGACCTTCCTCCCTCTGAGACCCTCGGGCCACAGAGGAGGCCTGGGCTACGGCCGGGCCCCGCGAGGGCACGCCCCTGAGTGTTGGGTCTGTGTCTGAGCTGCCCGCCGGCCGGGCCGCAGCTCTGTGTGTCTGTCCAGGCGTTGGTCGGCACCTCTGTGGCCTCGTTGTTGTCCTGAATCCTCTGAGCACCCGTTCTGTGTGTGGGTTATGGGGCGGCTAGAGGAGGCTCCGGATACTCTGGCTGGTGGCCGCCCACCCGGGCACCGAGGGCGGGCAGGGCTGGGGGTGTGCGGCCGCTCTGGGGGGCTGTCGGCGACCCTGAGGCCATGGGCCCAGGCAGGCCCAGCGGGGACAGTGTCACCTGAGCGGGGCCGCTGCCCCCTGGCGCTCCTGTGGCTTGTCTGTGGCCTGCGATGCTGGTGCGGGTGCGTCTGTGGTCCGTCCTCGTTGTCCGTTTGCATCAGCACGCGCCCCATCCTGTTACTTTTGCTGTGATGCTGTGCTGCCGGGCTGGGGGGCATGCTGTCACACCAATACTAATAGGACGTGTCCTGTCCGCACGCCCAGCCCGGCACCCGGAAGGCCCCGTCGGGGTTTGCCAAGGAGAAAGGAGGCAAATGCTTTTCCAGTGTCAGTCGGTCTCCATCTTGTCTTCACGCTCCTGTGAAAGGGATTCTGGAACCATCCGCCACCTAAACTTTGACTCTAATCTTCTTCTGCTTCCTTTGTCTCTTCTCTTCCCTCACCTCGCCCGCCCCTCGTCTGTGTCCGCCCCTCCCCTCGTCTCTAACCCGGTGCTAACAGTGGGCAGACAGACCACCGCTCCAGCCACAATGTCCACCGCGGCCTCCGGCGCCACCATGGGGCTGGTGGAACAAGGTAGATGTCCCGCCTGTCGGCATGCAGGTCCCCTTGCTGCACGCAGCCGCCGGCTGGGCCTTGAGAGCCTCCCAGAGGCCCCGGGAGCCCCTGCTCCCGCCGTGGACATGCCCACAGAGCCCCCGTGGGCAGGGAAGCAGCCCCAACTGTCCCAGCACCCTCAGACCCCACCTATTTCAGGAGGAGCCAGGCTAGCTGACCCCTGAGCTGAGTTGCCCTCCATGCCTTTGACTGAATTCCCCAGTCCTGGTTCCTGAGTCTGGGGGTCAGGAGACCCCTCTGGTCAGAGCCCTTTGCTGTCTCAGGCTCAGTCCCCACTTGTCCATCACGACCCCCGCTCAGAATGACCTTGCTACCAACCCCAGGAAGCCTCGGGGCTGCTGCTGGGAGTTTGAATCCCGAGTGGGGGCCCTGGGGAGAAGGGCGTGGGCAGAGACCCTGCCCCGTGAGAGCCCACTGGCCACCCTGGCCACCCCTGACCTGGCCCGCACACGCGCCCAGGGCCCTGCCCTGCGCTTCCAGCCGCTCGCACGGAGCCGGTGGTCTGTGCTGAGTCCCAAACACACACGTCTGCCCCGTGAGCCCCAAGACGGGGCCCTCGGCCACCCAGACAATGACTCTGAAGGCCTCCTCGTGGTTTCTTTCTACGAGGCCCCCATTACCTCGTCCCCAGCCTGTGAGGGGAGAGGCTCATTCTGCTAACCTGTGCCCCAGTCTGTGAGGGGCAGACCTCCCAGGAGGCCCAGGCCAGCTCCCGCTCATCCAACCGTGACCTTGGCCGGACCACATGAGGCTAGTGGACCCCAAGACTTCCTGGTGGGCCCATGGCCCCAGCCCGAGCTGAGGGTGGCACAAGTGTAGGGCGGGCAGAGCCAGCTGCAGCTGAGGGGCCTAGAAGAAGCCTGGCGTTTCCTGCCGGTGCCTCGAGTGTCGGCCAGGACAGTGCAGACGCCCAGCCCCTCCCAGGCCCAGGCCCTTTCT